GTACCCCGCGGTGGCAATAGGCCGGAGCGGCGCTTGGCTGCGAGGGCCGTTCGAGGCTGCTTGCAGCTTTAATTTTATTTTGTTCTGTTCTGTTCTGTTCTGTTCTGTTCTGTTCTGTTCTATTCTGTTCTGTTCTGTTCTGTTCTGTTCTATTCTATTCTATTCTGTTCTGTTCTATTCTATTCTATTCTATTCTATTCTATTCTATTTTATTTTATTTTGTTCTGTTCTGTTCTGTTCTGTTCTGTTCTGTTCTGTTCTGTTCTGTTCTGTTCTGTTCTGTTCTGTTTTTTTGTTTTGTTTTGTTTTGTTTTGTTTTGTTTTGTTTTGTTTTGTTTTGTTTTGTTTTGTTTTGTTTTGTTTTGTTTTGTTTTGTTTTGTTTTGTTTTGTTTTGTTTTGTTCTGTTGTGTTCTGTTCTGTTGTGTTCTGTTCTGTTCTGTTCTGTTCTGTTCTGTTCTGTTCTTCTGTTCTATTCTGTTCTATTCTATTCTATTCTATTCTATTCTATTCTATTCTATTCTATTCTATTCTATTCTATTTTATTTTATTTTATTTTGTTCTGTTCTGTTCTGTTCTGTTCTGTTCTATACTCTGTTCTGTTCTGTTCTGTTCTGTTCTGTTCTGTTCTATTCTGTTCTGTTCTGTTCTGTTCTATTCTGTTCTATTCTATTCTGTTCTGTTCTATTCTATTCTATTCTATTCTATTCTATTCTATTTTATTTTATTTTATTTTGTCTGTTCTGTTCTGTTCTGTTCTGTTCTGTTCTATTCTGTTCTGTTCTGTTCTGTTCTGTTCTGTTCTATTCTGTTCTGTTCTATTCTATTCTGTTCTGTTCTGTTCTGTTCTATTCTATTCTGTTCTGTTCTATTCTATTCTATTCTATTCTGTTCTATTCTGTTCTATTCTATTCTGTTCTATTCTATTCTGTTCTGTTCTATTCTATTCTATTCTATTCTATCTGTTCTATTCTGTTCTATTCTATTCTGTTCTATTCTATTCTGTTCTATTCTATTCTGTTCTATTCTATTCTGTTCTATTCTATTCTGTTCTGTTCTGTTCTGTTCTGTTCTGTTCTCTGTTCTGTTCTGTTCTATTCTGTTCTATTCTATTCTATTCTATTCTGTTCTATTCTATTCTATTCTATTCTATTCTATTCTATTTTATTTTATTTTATTTTGTTCTGTTCTGTTCTGTTCTGTTCTGTTCTATATTCTGTTCTGTTCTCTTCTGTTCTGTTCTGTTCTATTCTGTTCTATTGTTCTGTTCTATTCTGTTCTATTCTATTCTGTTCTGTTCTATTCTATTCTATTCTATTCTATTCTATTCTATTTTATTTTATTTTATTTTGTTCTGTTCTGTTCTGTTCTGTTCTGTTCTGTTCTGTTCTATTCTGTTCTGTTCTGTTCTGTTCGTTCTGTTCTGTTCTATTCTGTTCTGTTCTATTCTATTCTGTTCTGTTCTGTTCTGTTCTATTCTATTCTGTTCTGTTCTATTCTATTCTATTCTATTCTGTTCTATTCTGTTCTATTCTATTCTGTTCTATTCTATTCTGTTCTGTTCTATTCTATTCTATTCTATTCTATTCTGTTCTATTCTGTTCTATTCTATTCTGTTCTATTCTATTCTGTTCTATTCTATTCTGTTCTATTCTATTCTGTTCTATTCTATTCTATTCTGTTCTGTTCTGTTCTGTTCTATTCTATTCTGTTCTATTCTATTCTGTTCTGTTCTATTCTATTCTATTCTATTCTATTCTATTCTATTCTATTCTATTCTATTCTATCTATTCTGTTCTATTCTGTTCTATTCTATTCTATTCTGTTCTATTCTGTTCTGTTCTGTTCTATTCTATTCTATTCTATTCTATTCTATTCTGTTCTGTTCTATTCTATTCTATTCTATTCTATTCTGTTCTATTCTGTTCTGTTCTGTTCTATTCTATTCTATTCTATTCTATTCTATTCTGTTCTGTTCTATTCTGTTCTATTCTATTCTATTCTGTTCTGTTCTGTTCTATTCTATTCTATTCTATTCTATTCTATTCTGTTCTATTCTGTTCTATTCTATTCTGTTCTATTCTATTCTGTTCTGTTCTGTTCTATTCTATTCTGTTCTATTCTATTCTATTCTGTTCTATTCTATTCTGTTCTGTTCTGTTCTATTCTATTCTATTCTATTCTATTCTGTTCTATTCTGTTCTATTCTATTCTGTTCTGTTCTGTTCTATTCTGTTCTGTTCTATTCTATTCTATTCTGTTCTATTCTGTTCTGTTCTGTTCTTCTATTCTATTCTATTCTATTCTATTCTATTCTGTTCTATTCTATTCTGTTCTGTTCTGTTCTATTCTATTCTATTCTATTCTATTCTGTTCTATTCTATTCTATTCTATTCTATTCTGTTCTGTTCTATTCTATTCTGTTTCTATTCTATTCTATTCTATTCTATTCTGTTCTGTTCTATTCTGTTCTGTTCTGTTCTTCTATTCTATTCTATTCTATTCTATCTGTTCTATTCTGTTCTATTCTATTCTTTCTGTTCTGTTCTGTTCTGTTCTTTCTATTCTATTCTATTCTATTCTTTTCTTCTGTTTCTATTCTATTCTATTCTATTCTGTTCTATTCTGTTCTATTCTGTTCTATTCTATTCTGTTCTGTTCTGTTCTGTCTGTTCTATTCTATTCTATTCTGTTCTGTTCTATTCTGTTCTATTCTATTCTGTTTCTGTTCTGTTCTGTTCTATTCTATTCTATTCTATTCTATTTATGTTCTATTCTATTCTATTCTGTTCTGTTCTATTCTATTCTATTCTATTCTGTTCTGTTCTATTCTATTCTATTCTATTCTATTCTGTTCTATTCTATTCTATTCTGTTCTATTCTGTTCTATTCTATTCTGTTCTGTTCTGTTCTATTCTATTCTGTTCTATTCTATTCTATTCTATTCTATTCTATTCTGTCTATTCTATTCTATTCTATATTCTATTCTATTCTATTTGTTCTATTCTATTCTATTCTATTCTATTCTATTCTGTTCTATTCTATTCTATTCTATTCTATTCTGTTCTATTCTGTTCTGTTCTATTCTATTCTATTCTGTTCTATTCTATTCTATTCTGTTCTGTTCTATTCTATTCTATTCTATTCTATTCTATTCTATTCTATTCTATTCTATTCTGTTCTGTTCTGTTCTATTCTATTCTATTCTATTCTGTTCTGTTCTATTCTATTCTATTCTATTCTATTCTATTCTGTTCTATTCTATTCTATTCTATTCTATTCTATTCTGTTCTATTCTATTCTATTCTATTCTATTCTGTTCTATTCTATTCTATTCTATTCTATTCTATTCTGTTCTATTCTGTTCTGTTCTATTCTGTTCTATTCTATTCTATTCTGTTCTATTCTATTCTATTCTATTCTGTTCTGTTCTATTCTATTCTATTCTATTCTATTCTATTCTGTTCTATTCTATTCTATTCTATTCTATTCTATTCTGTTCTATTCTATTCTATTCTATTCTATTCTATTCTATTCTATTCTATTCTATTCTATTCTATTCTATTTTATTCTATTCTATTCTATTTTATTCTATTCTATTCTATTCTATTCTATTCTATTCTATTCTGTTCTATTTGGACAGAATCTGACATTCAGTTTGTTTTTGTGGGTTTGGGTCAGAACCTTTCAGCACAGCAGAAACCTTCGGTTCTGTTGGGAGAGCGGAGCAGACGGGCAGAACCAGAACCAGAACCAGCAGGACCGCTTCCCGCCAGAACATCCTCCCTGGAAACGACACAAACGGTTACCATGGCAACGCCTCTGACAGCGCCCGGTTCTGGTGGGGTCCAGTTCACCTCAGGATGGATAAAGTTCTGTTACTGAAATGGAACATTTCAAAGTTACCTGAATGCATCTTCCAGCACGGTGCCTTCAGTTGCTGCGGGACGTTTCAGTGTTGCTGCACATCTTCCTTTTAAAGGGCCGGCGTCGGGCGGGGCATTGGCCAACTTCCTGTCCAGCCTGACATTAGTAAAAGGATATGACATCATCAGGCGAATAAAAACACAATTTAGAAAGTAGTCATGCTGCGGGCCGAACGTTTTCTTGACATTTCTGTATAGTCAGAATTTAGTTTTGATTCGTTTCTTCAGATCCACTGAGAGTCGAGCCGCTTCAGGGCCGAGGTTCTGGTGAAACGGACCGGGTCGGAGGAACCAAGCGGCTCGGTTTGCTGTCACTGGAAAGGTCAAAAGCAGAACCTCAGACGGCGTCAGCAGAGGTCAAAGGTCAGATGTTCAGAGAAATTTTCCAGGAAAACAGAAGCGACAAAACGGGAAGTTCAGAAAAAAAAACATCAGAATGAATCAGAAAGAAAAACCAGCAGGTCAAACCGGGCCTGGATCAGAACCAGAACCTGCTGCCACCGACTCTTCAGTTCAGGACAATCTTTGACCTCTGAGGTTGGATTTGACCTTTACTAATAACAATAACATCATTGACCTTTGACCTGACCAGGAGGAAAACGGGACTGGTTTCATCTCAAGAACTAAATATGAACTAAATATGAACTAAATATGAACTAAATATGCATAAAATGTGTAGAAATTGTTCAGTAAACATCCCGAGTTCATCATTTCCCAGTTTTGTGACAAAATAAACTTTTTACTTATTTTTCTGATTTTAGCCTGTCAGAGAAAAATGTGTTTATTTTTTAACCTTCACATTTTCACTGTTATTCCAGACTAAACATTTAGTTCTCAGCTAAATGTTTACAGTTTATATTTAGTTTAATATTTATAAACACAGTGAAATTGTGACTTTTTTTTTCTACCACAGAAACTCAAATATGGCTTTGATTTTTTACAGTGTAATTTAGAAACAGGCCGTAATCCTGAACAGAACCCAGCGGTACCGTTCAGTAGAAACCCGTCCAAACTTCTGTTTCTGATGTAAGTTTATCAGAGAAGCACGATGGTTTTTTATAAATTTCATAATAAAGGAAACTTTGGGTGGAATTTATGACTCAGAAAGAAACGCAGAAACAGGAAGTGATTTCAAACATTCAGCCAGAAAAAAATGACAGTTACAATAAAAGTTAAGAATCTGAAACAGTTAAACTGAAAACCATGAAACCAGAACCAGAACCGGATCCCAGTTCTGGTTCTGGGCAGGTCCAGTCAAAGTCTGGTGTGTGAACAAATGTAGAATCCTCTGGATAGAAACATCACTGAGGTCATTTCCTAAAAATATTTACAACATTTTCATTCTTCTTTTAATAGTCGAATTATTGAACATCTGCAGCTCAGAAATAATAAAAACATTTAGTGACTTTAAAGTTTGTGTCTAAACAAAAAGATCATTCAGGAATAATTTCATTCCTGATTTAAAACATCGTTTCCTCCAATTCATCCCTGGTGTGAAAATCTAAAAGCATTTCACAGCAAAAATCTTCATGTTCTTAATAAACATGTCAGAAAGTTATTAAAATGTTTCTGCTGAACTGAAGCTGATTTTGTCATATCTGAAAACATCTACGTTATCGGATTATTTAGATTTATTTAACATTTAAATTGAAAAAAAATCTACAGATATAATTCATGCGTTCAGATGCAAAACGGACCAATTCCCGATGAACCTGGATGGGATCAAGAGGTCAGAAGGTCACCGGACGTTTCCAGACCTTCAGTCCTCATGGTCTGCAGTTCTGAGGACAGCCGGTTCTGACCGGAAAGCAAAACATCAGGGAGAACGAAGCTCCGCCTCCTGACGCTCTCCTGTCGCTCTGATTGGTCACTCTGGGTTTTTACGGAGCAGCAGGACAACAGAACCTCCTCCGAACATCTGGAGCAGCTCAGTACCAGATGATCATCTGACCAGAACCGAGACTAGAACATCCACCTCCAACCGACTCCTTCAGTCCTTCCAGCAGAACCAGAACCTCTGGGTTCTGGCCCAGTAACTCTGGTAAAGCAGACGGCAGCAGGCTTAGCATCAGCTGGGGGACAGTGGGCGGAGTCATTCTGAGGTCACTCAGGATGTGTCATCTGAAGCTCCTGATTGGTCCAGATGGAACCAGAACCAAGACTTTACAACTGGACCTCTAGGCGAGCCTACAGCTCCGTTCACTCAAAAGTTAGCTTCTGATAACCATGGAAACCCCTCAAAGGAACCAGAAGGAATAAAACAATCTGAAAATGTTTGTGTCACCAGAGCTCCTGGTTCTGTTCTGGTTCTGTACTGGTTCTGTTCTGGTTACCTACAGCGGGTCTGGAGAGTGCAGCCGGAGATGACTGTTTAGCGCAGAGCGGTTCTTAAAACGTTTCTCACACATGCTGCATGGGAACGGGCTCTCTCCTGTATGGGTCCTCCTGTGGATCACCAGATGGACGTTCTGGTTGAAACTTTTACCACAGAACTCACATGTGAACAGTTTCTCATCCATGTGGGTTCTCATGTGAACTGAAAGGTTGTCGCTCCTCCTGAAGCCTTTGTGACAAATGGGACAGAAGTAAGGTTTCTCCTCTGAGTGACACCTGCTGTGGAGGATCAGACTGCGCTTGGTGGTGAAGCTCTTCCGGCAGGTCTCACAGGAGTACGGTTTCTCACTGGAGTGGATGCTAGTGTGCTTTGACAGGTCGCTGCTGCAGCGGAAACATTTCCCGCAGACGGAGCAGGAGTATGGCTTCTCCCCAGTGTGGACCCTCATGTGGGTCAGCAGAGCAAACTTTCGGATGAAACTCTTCCCACAGGTCTTGCAGGAGAACGGCTTCTCTCCGGTGTGGATTTTGCGATGCCTCCTCATGGCGTACTGAAACCTGAACTCTTTCTCACAGAAGTCACATTTGGCAGGTGTTCTACTTGTGTTTGGTTCAGACAGACAGTTTGCTTCCAGCTCCTCAGACCTGCTCGTCCCTGACTCCTGAGTCTGGGCTTTGGGAGATCTCTGAGGGAAGAGTGGGTCGTTGCTTGGTTCAGCTTCATCATACTCGACTGTCACCATCAGTGTTTCCGTTTCCTGCTTCAGGACGAGCTGCTCGGCGTCCTGACTGACACACAGTTCTTCATGTTCCTCTTTGACCTCTTGATGCTGCAGTGGTTTCTTCTTCTTCTTCCTTTTACTCTCGGGGAGTTGTAGCTCTTGCTGTGGAGGTCTGACTTCCTCCTGGTCGTTACGGACGACGTCCTCACAGAGACGATCAGGTGGAAAACCTGGAAAATCAGCAAACAGAAAATATCTCAGCTAAAACATCAAACAGGATGAGTTTATTGCAACATCTGCTAATTTTCTAACAGAACTTATTTTTATCTTGGTGCTTTAGCACTTTTGCTGACTTTGCAAATGTTTAGTGAAGTTAGCTTCCCGTAAATTAATTTTCCATCCATTTTCTGAGCACCATTCTCCCGAACGGGGTCGGGAGGTGCTGGTGCCTCTCCAGCTGCGTTCCGGGCGAGAGGCGGGGTCACCTGGACGGGTCGCCTGGACGGGTCGCCAGTCCGTCGCAGGTAAATTAATTTTTCTGGATAAATTCTAAAATGTTAACTTACTTGGTTTGTAAATTTTCAGTTGAATAAAGTTCAGCGTCTGAGTTGAAGTTTTGGTTATTGACTTAAAAATTCTTCAAGACGTTTATATTCATGCTCTTATTTTGAAGTCTTTGCCAGCTTCTTTTCATCAGAACCGGTTCTGACTTCGGCAACTCATTGTTCTCATCTTCCTCATCTTCCTCTCCCAGATTGTCGTTGCTTCATTTCATTATTTGGATTGTGGAACATAAACACGTCTGACTGCGTCTAATTGAATAATGATGACATCATCACACGGCATCAAGACATGTTTAAATTCATCAAAGGATAAAATTTCAACTTCCCATTTTCACCAGACTTTGAATTTGGGTTTTTAATGTAACCGTGAGATTTCCAAACCATCCAGTGATGCCATATCTCAGAACAAACTCAACGGTTGCCCAATGGAAGATCAACATTATCATTTCAGAAACGCCACACAATCCACGAACACACCTAAAAATTAAAGCTGTGACCTGTTTGATGGAGCCATCATCACAGATTGATTTAGGATCCAGAAAGAACTCAACAGTTACTGATGGAGCCGGAGTCCCCAGAGAGAACCCACCATGCAAACTCCCCAGGCTGGGAATCGAACCCAGGACTGTGTACATTTATATATAAATATTTATATAGCTATAACTAATTTGCACCTCCAGTGGCTGGTAGAGCATTTCTATGAATTTATACAATTTATAAATCAAAATTCAGTAAGAATCCATCCATGTTACATATCTCTAAACAACCTCTTAATTCATTTAAGATGAATTAAAATATGTACCTTTTATAAATCAACAATACTTTCCTAAAAAACCTTGCAACTTCCAAATGTACGTAAAGATCCCTGAACACATTCAGCTGACATTCTAAATATAACACTAATAAACTTAATTAACTTTGATGTTCTTGAGCGCGTGTTGCACCTGATGCAAATGGCGTCCAAACGTCCCCGCCTTCCTTCCGGCGGCCAGAACTACATGCTAACACTTAGCTAGCACGCTAACAGCTATGGTAACCTGCATTCTAGGAAATTTAACTGTAAAGTAACATATCCGCACACATAACGCGACGACGTGACTGAATATAACTCGTTTAATCCACCAAATCCTCAAATTAAACCTTTAATCCCAGAAACGTTCCAGGGTTTGTTTCTGCAGGTCGCCATGTTGGATAAAACTGGGAGGAAACCGAAGGATGTTTTGGTCGGAACAGTGGCACGAAATGGCACATCAACAAGGCCCCGTTCCTCAGACCCCGGGAGGCCAGCCGGACCTACCTGCGGGGTTCTGCTCGGTTCGGGTCCAGCTGAGGTCCAGCAGCCTCCGCTGCCGGTCGATCTCCTCCTCGTACCGGACGATGGTTTTTTCCAGCTGGGTGAAGATTTCTTCAGCAGCAGCAGTTAGTCTCTCTCTGATAAACTCCCTCAGAGGCTCAACGGAACACATTGTTGCTGCGCAGAACCGCAACAGAACCGCAGCAGAACCCGGACACAGCACAGCTGCTAGCAGGAGGCTAACCGGAAGTTAGCCACCACTTCTCCGGTTACTTCCGCTGGATGCGTCATCGGCTCCGCATCATTTCACAGCCGGAGGGACGAGCGGCGCAGGATGAACTTCAGGCTCTGAAGGAAGCAGTGGCGGAGCTAGACTTTTTTTCAAGGGGTGGCCAAAGGCTGAGCAAGGCTTCATCAGAGGGTCCATATACAAATGATGAACGAAAGGAAACAAATATTTTCTCTCATACACTCAAATTAAGATGGTTTATTTAACTAAGATTTGCCATGACCAAACAAGACGTTAAACGGCTCTATGGAACAGTGAACATGTAAATGTAAACTCAGAGCCCAGAATATGACCAAAAACAAATTCTCAAAAGTAAATAAATAAATAAATAAACTGGTGCTTCTGGTGTGCAATAGGTTCTGCTGGGTGGGGGCAGTTCAGTGCCATTTCCTTCTGCTTCACTGTCTTCCTCCCCAGAGTCTGACTCTGAATCTGTATCACCCTCATCTCTCTCTGGAACTTAACTGGAAATGCATAAACAGACACAATAAAAAATGCAAAAAGCATCATGCTAACCTTTAGAATTAGGCTTATTGGATTTTAATACTTAATAACTCTCTGTCACAGCCTCTAACCCGCTGGTGATCCACTTGGGCCTGGAGTCTCCTGGCTTGATTCTCCAGGTTGGTCACTGCTGCAGGGTTCTGTCTGGTCCTGGTCACTGCTGCAGGGTTCTGTCTGGTCCTGGTCACTGCTGCAGGGTTCTGCAGGGTTCTGTCTGGTCCTGGTTTTTGCCTCTTTAAGAAGAACTGGGAGATCTTCCCTTTTCTCTTCATTTTGGCTCTACACAAAATAAGAGCCTGGTATTTAGACTCCATGACTGTTTGGCAGAGACACTATTTTAACTATTATTTAAACTATAGTTTTTAGTTTTCTGTAGCTAGCTAAAATACTAAATTAAAAATACATTAATCAAAATTAATTAATATAACTAGTGAGGTTATAATTCAAAGCTTTCATATGACATAGCCTACTTACATTTCAGACTACATTCAGACTAAATTCAGACTACATAATTTACACATTAAGCAGTACATAGTAAGCCCAACAGAATAAACCTTCATAGAGGCAAATAAGGTGATGAACAAAGACATCTGAAATGGTTTTTCTCATATTCTTATCACATTTCAAGCAAGAGCTGGGAGATATAAAACATTAGAGGGCAGCATGTCACTAAAACATGTTAAAAGAATCTGTCTAAAACACGATCTACCAGCACTAACATGGCTAATATAATAAACCAGACACTACGCAGCGGTACACAACCATTTTGTTTCTTTTTAGAAATGTATGACAAGAGCCGCCTCTCATTAGGAAGGTAACAGCGGTTACTGCTGAGCGGTAAAATGTTGTAAATACCTGCAAAACTCCTGACGGTGTAACTCTAAAGCCGTTGATGTGTTTTGGATCAAGCAGGAACCAACATGTCAGTTTAACCAATGAACAGCGTCGGGCATCGGGCTGCCTTCAGGGACAGTCGGAAATTACAGTTTTCCTGGCAAATCTTTGCCGATCTCATAAGTATTATATTTTAAAATGACCATTTCCAGTGGGGTGGCACTAGGGGGGCCAGGGGTCTGTTGGGGGTGGCAAGTGCCACCCCGGCCACCCCTCTGGCTCCGCCACTGGAAGGAAGAAAAGTCAAGTTTACTCAATAATTCTCGACCCGCTGAGATCCGCGGTCACATCAGGGAATCTGTGGTTTCTAAACCACAACACAATGAAGACCTGCTGCTGCTGGATCAACCTTCCAGTCCATCAGGTTCTGGTTCTGGTTCTTCTCTGCATCAGAACCAGAACCAAAGAAGGAAAAGCAGATTTCAGCTTCTATGCAGCACAAATCTGGAACAAACTTCCAGAAAACTGTGAAACAGCAGAAACCCTGAGATCCTTTAAATCCAGCTGGTTAGTTTGAATTAAAATGGAATCAATTCTGAATTTATTGACGGCTCTCGACTTAATGTCACGTTTCATTGTTTTATGCTGCATGACTGAGTTTTTATGATGTAAAGCTCTTTGAAAGGCCTTGCTGCTGAAATGTGCTGTACAGATCAAAAGAGATTGATTAATTGATTGATTGATCAGTGTTCCAGTTCTTACTAATCACAGCAGCTCTAACCTGGTGGTTTCAGCTGTGATTTAAAGGACGTCAGTGTTTGGGCGTTCTGCTCCAGGTGCTCGGCCATTCAGAGGTCGGTGACCTCAGTGTTGTTCTGATCTGGCCAACATTGTTTGATGGGATTAAAACATCTAACTAAGATCTTTCTATTCTGTATCAGAACCTTGTTTGATCCTGTACCACCTGCTGTGACTCTTCAAAATAAAAGAGGGGGTTCTGTGCAGAGGTAGAGCACAAACCACATAAAGAGGCCTCAGTCATCGACGCAGCTGTCGCAGGTTCGAATCCCAGCCTGGTGACCTTCGCCACATGTCTTTACCGTCTTCCTGTCTAAGCATTTTAAAATAACCAACAAGAAACCTTGAAAAAAATAAAAGTCCAGAGAGGAACCAGCTCGAAGTCGCTGTGCAAAGTTTGTGAATGTTTAACAGCAGCTTTGTTCTTCCTGATGTGGGCAGCTGGCCTTCGCTGCGGTCAGCAGGTCTTCATGCTGAACTCAAACAGTATGAAATGTGACCACAATCAAAATGAAAGCTCAATATAAACTCGTACAGATGAGACGCCTCAGTTTCACCTTCTATGTTCATAAAAATTAAACTGTTCGATAAGCAAAATCCGTCCTTCCTGGTTCCTGTGTTTACCTTCATGCACATCGTCTGTTTATTGTTGGTACTCGTCTTCCACAACCTCATTTGAAAGAACAAACTCTCATGTTTAGCTCAGAAATGCAGAACCTTCATCAATATTTACAAGAAAAAAGAAAAAAAAGTGTTCATGTATTTATAAAAACATGAAATAACTCAATGTGACGTCCATGGAAAACAGGTGGAGGTTCCCCTCCCTGGTGAGTTTGGGCCGTGACCCCAAAGCTAGCTGCGCTAATCCTAAAGTACTATCCATACACTGTTCCACTGATGCTAACTGCTACAGCAACACAGCATCTGGAGGAAGTTCATGCAAAATATCAACTCTGATTATATTTCCTCTGAAATGAAACGACCCTGAAGCACCAATTTAATTTCTCTTCTGTCCATGTTCCGTTTTGTTCTTGTATGTTTCTTATTTTGTTAAGAAGGTTGAGAAATAAAGAAAGCAAGAAGAGGAAACAGACTGGCATTGAAAACAATGTTCCTTCAAAATAAGAGCATAAATATCTACTTAGAGATGTTTATGCTCCAAGTAGAGAGCATAATACTTGTTGTTCAACAAGTATGAACAAGTATTGTTGATACTTGCTTACCAAGTATCAACAATACAAAATTTCAAAATACAAAAGTATTTTGAAAAACAAAATACTTTTGTTTTTATCAATACTTGATAAAACTTCAATACAGATGATTAATTTTATTCAACTGAAAGTTTACAAACAGCAAATTAAATTAGCTCTTCGGATCTTAACTGGAAAATGTACTTAGTGGAAGCTAAAGGCGCTAAATGTTTTCAAAGTTAACCAAAATGAAAAATGGCCTCCACTATTAGTGGAAGTGGGTCGAGTGTTGGTGTGCCTGCAAAGCCGGAACCAACCACAGACTGTGGATAAGAACATTTCATGAAGGGAACCCCAACCTACTCAGAGGTGCTAATATTTAGTTAGCCTTATTAACCAGTAATATTGTCTTCCTCTGTTGTTTTGTGAAGCCAGCTCATGGTTACAATGTTTGAGGAACAAAAGGCTTCAGATTCACTGAAAGCTGTGAAGTTCTGTGCTAATAGACTGTTGCTGCTATTTGCTTTGTGGAACATAAACCTCAAACATTACAGACTCTTGAAGGACATCAGAACAAACATGATTCAGATAAACAGCACAAAATCTACACAAGCAGCACAATTTGTCACTGAACGACAAACCCACTGAGGTCAAAACCTTGCTTTAGAAATTCTAAATTTCTTCACAGAAATCACACAGAAACATACATCAACTTTTAATGATTCCCAGTTTAACACAACTCTCACAAAGTTGAATGTTTTAGCAGAGAAAGCTCTTGTCTCTCATTGGTTAAAGCCACAGCTGCTTGCTTGTCTCTCCAGTAGGGTATGCTGGACTCTAGCGGAGTCATCTCAACTCCTTGGAGACGTTTCCCACAGACCATGTGTCAGAAAGACCTTTCTCCTGTTTGTGAGTTCTCATGTGAGCCATCATGTGACATCTCACACTGAAACCTTTCCCACAGGTCGAACATGGGAACGGCTTCTCGCCGGTGTGAACTCTCATGTGACGAGTCAAATGACTCCGTAAAAGGAAGCTCTTCTGACAGGTGACGCATGGGAAAGGCTTCTCACCTGTGTGGGTTCGCATGTGAATTACGAGGTAACTTCTTACACTAAAGCTTTTTCCACAGGTGACACATGGGAATGGTTTCTCACCTGTGTGAGATCTCTTATGGACGGTCAAGCTACCGCTACATCCAAAGGATTTCCCACAAATTTCACAATCATAGGGTTTCTCGCCCGTGTGCGTCCTCATGTGTCTGTTCAAGTTGCTTTTTCGACTGAAGCTGTTCCCACAGATCACACACAGATAGGACTTCTCATCTGTGTGAGTCCTCATGTGTGTATTCAGATATGTTTTGGCACTGAAACTTTTTCCACATGTGGGACATACGAACGGCCTCTCGCCTGTGTGGATCCTCATGTGAGAAGCCAGACGGCTGCTCTGAGTGAAACCTTTACAGCACACATCACAGATGTGCAGCTTCTCATCCGTGTGCGTTCTCATGTGAATTGTTAAACTGCTTCTCACTCTGAAGCTTTTTCCACATGCCACACATGGAAAAGGTTTCTCCCCTGTATGTGTGCTCATGTGAACATTTAAATGACTCCGTAAACTGAAGCTTCTGCCACAATATGGACAGGAGTATGGCTTCTCACCAGTGTGTGTTCTCAGGTGAGTGATCAGGTGACTCCTTACACTGAAACTTTTCCCACAGCTCACACATGCAAATGGCTTCTCACCTGTGTGTGTTCGCATGTGAGTGTTTAAATTGCTTTTAGCACCAAACCGTTTTCCACAGGTGAGACACTGAAAAGGTTTCTCACCTGTGTGAATTCTCATGTGCGTGATTAGATGACTTTTTACAATGAAACTTTTCTCACAGCTCGGACAGGGAAACGGCTTCTCACCTGTGTGAGTTCTTACATGAGCAATGAAGCTGCTCCTTGCACCAAAACTTTTCCCACAGGTGGGACATGTGAAAGGCTTCTCACCTGTGTGGGTTCTCATGTGAACTGTTAAGCTACCTTTGTCATTTAGAAACTTACCGCAGACCTCACAGGCATGTTGTTTCTTACTTGTGTGTGACCTCATGTGGTTGTTCAGATGGCTACTCTGGGAGAAACTCTTGCCACACACTTTACAGGAAAAGAAACTTTTTTCTGTTTGGCTCAGAGTTCTGCTCCGCCTCCTGAGTTTGGACCCGTGTGCATCGTCACTTTGAACTCTGGATTTCTGACGGCTCTTATTCGACCTCGTTCGTGGATGTTTACAGAGGCCTGAATTTTTCCTCTTCTCTTCCTGTTGCTGGTTTTCAGCCAGTCGTGTGTTCTGCAGTCGGTCCCTGACCGGTTCTGGTTCCCTGCTGGATGAATACGGGTCAGCAGTATTCACCCCCAGAGGGTCCGTCTCCTCCTTCAGAACCAGCTCGACTTCGTCCTGGCTGGTGCAGAATTCGTCCACTTCCTCTTTAATCTGCAGATCGTCAGCATGTTGATCCAGCAGCTCCTCCGGTTCCTGCTTGATATTTGGACCTTTTGGATCCTTCTGTTCGTCCATCAGGGCAGTTTTGCTTCTTCCGGTTCTGAATGATTGCTTCTCTTTGCAAAAGAAAAACCTCTCGATTGTACAGAAAATATTTGCTGGACGTCTGAGGAGATGAAGAACACAAGAAGAAATTCAAGAGATTTCAGCAAATGCATTTGGAAATCTATAAAAGCTTGAAATAATTTGTAATCGTTTGCTATTAGAATAAACTTTAGACATGAAAGCAACTGGAAGGATTTTCACCAATCTGTGGGAATCAGAAACAAAGAAGAATCCAGAACCAGAACCAGAACCAGAACCAGAACCAGAACCAGGACCAGGACCAGAACCAGAACCAGAACCAGAACCAGGACCAGAACCAGAACCAGGACCAGAACCAGAACCAGAACCAGAACCAGAACCAGAACCAGGACCAGAACCAGAACCAGGACCAGAACCAGAACCAGAACCAGAACCAGGACCAGAACCAGAACCAGAACCAGAACCAGGACCAGAACCAGAACCAGGACCAGGACCAGAACCAGAACCAGGACCAGAACCAGAACCAGGACCAGGACCAGAACCAGAACCAGAACCAGAACCAGGACCAGAACCAGAACCAGGACCAGAACCAGAACCAGAACCAGAACCAGAACCAGAACCAGGACCAGGACCAGAACCAGAACCAGAACCAGAACCAGGACCAGAACCAGAACCAGGACCAGAACCAGAACCAGAACCAGAACCAGAACCAGGACCAGAACCAGAACCAGGACCAGAACCAGAACCAGAACCAGAACCAGGACCAGAACCAGAACCAGAACCAGAACCAGGACCAGAACCAGAACCAGGACCAGGACCAGAACCAGAACCAGGACCAGAACCAGAACCAGGACCAGAACCAGGACAAGAACCAGAACCAGAACCAGGACCAGGACCAGAAACCAGAACCAGAACCAGGACCAGGACCAGGACCAGAACCAGGACCAGAACCAGGACCAGGACCAGAACCAGAACCAGAACCAGAACCAGGACCAGGACCAGAACCAGGACCAGGACCAGAACCAAACCAGAACCAGAACCAGGACCAGGACCAGAACCAGAACCAGAACCAGGACCAGGACCAGAACCAGGACCAGGACCAGGACCAGAACCAGGACCAGAACCAAGACCAGAACCAGAACCAGGACCAGAACCAGAACCAGGACCAACCAGGACCAGGACCAAGACCAGAACCAGGACCAGGACCAGAACCAGGACCAGAACCAGGACCAGAACCAAGACCAGAACCAGGACCAGGACCAGGACCAGAACCAGAACCAGGACCAGAACCAGAACCAGGACCAGGACCAGAACCAGGACCAAGACCAGAACCAGGACCAGGACCAGAACCAGGACCAGGACCAGAACCAGGACCAGAACCAGAACCAAGACCAGAACCAGGACCAAGACCAGAACCAGAACCAGGACCAGAACCAGGACCAGGACCAGGACCAGGACCAGGACCAGAACCAGGACCAGGACCAGAACCAGGACCAGGACCAGAACCAGAACCAGGACCAGAACCAGGACCAGGACCAGAACCAGAACCAGGACCAGGACCAGAACCAGGACCAGGACCAGAACCAGAACCAGGACCAGAACCAGGACAAGAACCAGAACCAGAACCAGGACCAGGACCAGAACCAGAACCAGAACCAGGACCAGGACCAGGACCAGAACCAGGACCAGAACCAGGACCAGGACCAGAACCAGAACCAGAACCAGAACCAGGACCAGGACCAGAACCAGGACCAGGACCAGAACCAGAACCAGAACCAGAACCAGGACCAGAACCAGGACCAGGACCAGAACCAGAACCAGGACCAAGACCAGAACCAGGACCAGGACCAGGACCAGAACCAGGACCAGAACCAAGACCAGAACCAGAACCAGGACCAGAACCAGAACCAGGACCAGAACCAGGACCAGGACCAAGACCAGAACCAGGACCAGGACCAGAACCAGGACCAGAACCAGGACCAGAACCAAGACCAGAACCAGGACCAGACCAGGACCAGAACCAGAACCAGGACCAGAACCAGAACCAGGACCAGGACCAGAACCAGGACCAAGACCAGAACCAGGACCAGGACCAGAACCAGGACCAGGACCAGAACCAGGACCAGAACCAGAACCAAGACCAGAACCAGGACCAAGACCAGAACCAGAACCAGGACCAGAACCAGGACCAGGACCAGGACCAGGACCAGGACCAGAACCAGGACCAAGACCAGAACCAGGACCAGGACCAGAACCAGAACCAGGACCAGGACCAGAACCAGGACCAGGACCAGGACCAGGACCAGAACCAGGACCAGAACCAGGACCAGAACCAGAACCAGGACCAGGACCAGAACCAGGACCAGGACCAGAACCAGGACCAGAACCAGAACCAGGACCAGAACCAGGACCAGGACCAGGACCAGGACCAGAACCAGAACCAGGACCAGGACCAGAACCAGGACCAGAACCAGAACCAGGACCAGGACCAGGACCAGGACCAGAACCAGGACCAGGACCAGAACCAGGACCAGATCCAGAACCAAAGACTGAACCAGAACCAGAACCAGGACCAGAACCAGGACCAGGACCAGAACCAAGACCAGAACCAGAACCAGGACCAGGACCAGAACCAAGACCAGAACCAGGACCAGAACCAGGACCAGGACCAGAACCAAGACCAGAACCAGAACCAGAACCAGGACCCTATCAATCAGTTATCAATCAGTTATCAATCAGTTATCAATAATTAATCATCAGCTTTTCTCATCTTGAGTTTTAACGTCGTCATGGTGTTGACCTGAGTGCTACTCTTTTACCTGCTGCTGAAAACTCACCTGTGGTGGGAGGGGCAGAGTGGGCGTGGCCTGCAGGATGCCACGCCTCCACCGGGATACACCTGGAGACCAGAGGAGGAAGGTTAAAGGACCATCATCATCATCATCATATGTCTGTTTTCCTCACAATTTACTTTACATTCATTAAAACACCATCTTCTTCTATTATCATTGATTATTGTACTAACTGGTTCTGGTTCTGGTTCTGGTTCTGGTTCACTCCCTCATGTTTCACATGAACCTACCAGACACTCAGATACTAATGTAATATTGTACTTTTATGTATATTTCCTCTGGTATCTTTTCCATTGTGAAGACAAACTGATGACGTTTCATCCATTATTTATTCATTTCTGTTTCCATTTTGCTTCGTCTTCTTGCCTCTCCAAAGACTATTAAAATCACCGCACCATAATTCTCTTCTATGTCATTTCCTTAAGCATTTTACAATCGAGATTTTTACATGGTTTTATAATTTTAATATTTCCATACTTCCTTACATTAAATATTTCTATAATAACACATTCTAATTAATTACCCGTTTTCTTATCAGCTATTCCATCTTTAATTAAAGTAGCACATCCTCCTCCATTACCAGCACTTCTATCCCGTCTTTCCATGCAGGAATCTTAACATCTAACCAAGTTTCTTCAAAACATATAATATCAGGATCATTTCTAATTCAGAAATATACTTTTTAAATTCTTGTCATTGGCTATTAAGCCTTTAGCATTCCATTGAAGGATATGTAAAACCATTAAAAAGAACACTTGGATCCTAATCCTGAGTATTTTCTGTATGTATTTGATCTGCTTGTATTTCTTTATATCTAAAAATCTTCCAGCTGCTGTTACTATTTCTTTTATTTTATCACTTTTCTTCTTCATTTGTACTGTTACATAAACAATATGGCATATAAATGCTACAAAGTTGTTTTTTCACCATCATTGTATCACCATCCACTCTACATTTATGCCAGTATGCATTTTGGATATTTGCATTTGGAACCAGGATTTGTCTGGTTTCTCCTCTTCCTCTATCACCGTCTTTCTTTACTCTTTTTAAGGCTTCAGCATATGAAATTCTTTCTGTTTTAATTCTTTGAGCTTTCCTAGCTTCCTTTTGTGTTTGACAACCACCATATGCTGCACTGTTTTCTCCTCCAGTATTACAACATTTGATTTTTGCATCTTTCTCACATTTTCCATATTCATGTGGGCCTCCACATCTTGCACACCTGATTTTCCTTTGCATTGCTTTGCAGTGTCTCATTCTTTGACACTTAAAACAGCGGAGGGGTTCAGGGATTAACTAACTCTATAGTTCATGTAACCCAGCTGGATATTTCCTGTAAAATTACTGCCACAGTGTCTTTAAATTCCCCAACTCTTTTACTTTTAATCCTAGTGGCATCTGTTATTTCCCCCCTTTGATTTCTTTTTTCACATCCTCCATTATCATTTCCTGCAGAACTCCTGAAATCTCTCCTCTTCGCCTTGCTAACAATCCTGGGATATGAGATCTGACTCTTTCCCCCATCAGGGTTTCATGATCTGTTGCTGTGATTCGCTGTTAGCATGTGTTAGCACTCTTCTGTTGTTCATGATTCTAGCCATTTTAATTGTTCCTATTTCTGCCTCTGGTCAGTTTTATGGGATTATAGATCCCCATAACTTTAAATTCTGCCTCTAAATTAACATGACTCTGTTCTTGTGAATTCACCCTTTCGTTTGTTTTTGTCCTTTTGCTAATGTCTGCTCTTGTCTCACTTTCTTCTGACCAACTTCTTGCTCTTTCTTGTCTTTTCCTAATTGCTGTTTTCATTCGTGATGCTCTAGAAATCATCCAATCATCTGTTTCCTCCCCGCTGCTTCAGTCAAACTCAGTCCTACCGCCTCGTTTCTTCCCTTCTCTCTCGCTTCCGCCTCTTCCACCAATCCTCCTCTCCTGGCTTCTTCAGCTAACTATGCTAACGCCACCAGCGCCATTTCTACTTCCGCCTGGTGTCGCGCAGTGAAGCGCCGACAGAAACAAGGTTCGGAACCGAAATGTTCCGGATCTGGAAAGAAAGGTTCGGTAGTTCCACAGCTGGATCAACTTTAATGAATGATTCAGAGAAAAGTGAGTTTATTTTCACATTTATAATTGATAATAAAATACAATGAAAGTTAATTTGAAGAAATATCAAGGAAAATATTCACCACATAACGAGATCAATTTTTAGCTGACTAGAAAAAACTGAACTCAATAAATAATAATATTGGTTCAGCTTCTCCTTTTCTGACTTCTATTACCCATAAAGTATGATTGCTGTCTAAAAAATTAAAACCTTTGCTTCCATCACAACTATTTGGTTTTGAAATATCGTCTGAACTGACAAACATCAGCGGACAGGAAGCAGCCCATCGTTTCCTTCCATAATTCTGCAAGTTTTCAGTGGATCTAAAAGCAGGAACTGTTAAAGTAATGAAACTTCAGGATTAATTTACAATCAATCAAATTTCATCTGTACAGCAAATTTCAGCAGCAAGAGTTTTACATCATAAAAACACAAAGTCATGCAGCATAGAATCGACAATAAACATGACATTAAGTCAAGAGCCGTCAATAAATTCATACTTGATTATGTTTTAAATAAAACTCTAACCAGCAGCTTTTTAGTCTGGATTTAAAGGATCTCAGGGTTTCAGCTGTTTTACACTTTTCTGGAAGTTTGTTCCAGATTTGTGCTGCATAGATGCTGAAAGCTGCTTCTCCTCGTGTGTGTGTGTCTGTATGTGTATCTGTGTTTGTGTATGTGTGTCTGTGTGTGTGTGTGTGTGTGTGAGGAGTTTGGGAGGCTCTGGAGAAAGACTTCCGCACGGCTTCAAAGCGATTCTGGTCCACCATCCGGCGTCGCAGGAGGGGAAAGCGGTGCAGCACCAACACTGTTTACAGTGCAGCACCAACACTGTTTACAGTGCAGCACCAACAGTTTACAGTGCAGCACCAACAGTTTACAGTGCAGCACCAACAGTTTACAGTGCAGCACCAACACTGTTTACAGTGCAGCACCAACACTGTTTACAGTGCAGCACCAACACTGTTTACAGTGCAGCACCAACACTGTTTACAGTGGGGATGGTGGGCTGCTGACCTCGACTCGGGACGTTGTGGCCCGGTGGACGGAATACTTCAAAGACCTCCTCAATCCCACCAACATGCCTTCCATTGAGGAAGCTGAGCCCGGGGACTCTGGGTGGATGGAACCGGATTGAACCGGATTGAACCGGGTTCCTGGTCATTTTGCTCTAGTTGCATCATCATCTCCAACATTTTAAACATGAATATTAAAACTTTTAATGTTTCAGTTTTCAGGATTCAAGTCAGATTTTGAAAAAATGAGGCTTCTAGGTTACAGTTCTATGTTTCCGTTCATCAAACCTGGACTTTAGATGATTAAACATCAGTTGAGTTTTAAAGTTTAAAATGATCCGTTAAGCTCCGCCCACTGTTCTCTAAATTCCTCTGATTTTTCAGCAGAAACGTGTTCAGACTCAGATGAACTCAAGTTTTTATTCTCTGGAACATTTTACAGGATTTTTCTAGAAAATTCAGTCCACAGTTCAGACTGGGGCGGCCGGCTGCTGTGATTGGTCAGCAGGGGCAGGGCGTCTCGGCGTCTGGCTCCACCGTCAGCCCTTTGCTCTGGAGGAAGGCTTCCTGTTTGGGTTCCCGGCCCAGGAACTTCCTCAGCATGTCCGCCGCGTCCTCGGAGCCGCCAGGCTGCAGGATGAACTTCCTGTAGTCCAGACCCACCTGGAAGGACCAATCAGGAGAGATGTCAGCAGCCTGCCCACCTCACTGGACAGGTGAGGTGGGAGGCGGGGCTCACCTGGGGGTTCATGATGCCCTCCTGCTTGAAGCGAGCGTAGAACATGTCCATGGAGAAAACCTCGCTCCACAGGTAGCCGTAGTACTGGGCGTCGTAGCCCCCCGCCAGGTGGCCGAAGGTGGCCGGCATGTTGGTTCCTGTACGCGTTTTATGTGATGCACATGAACATGTGATGCACATGTGTATCACATATTTTATACACATGTAAAAACATGATGATCACTTGGGGATCACATGGGTTTTACCTTAAAACCTTCCAAAATCACACATATACATGTGCTTCTACATGCTATTCACATGTGCAGTTTTCATGTGGTACATGGATTTCACATGTGAATTTTATGGGATTATTTTGAAAGGCAGAGCCGTGTGTAACCTTCACTGCTGGCATTTTCCAGCTAACTGTGTGTGTGTGTCTGCATGCGTGCGCGTGTGTGAGAGTGTGTGTGTGTGTGTGTGTGAGAGTGTGTGTTTGTGTGAGTGTGTGTGAGTGTGTGTTTGTGTGAGTGTGTGTGTGTGTGTTTGTGTGAGTGTGTGTGTGTGTGTGAGTGTGTGTGAGTGTGTGTGTGTGTTTGTGTGAGTGTGTGTGTGTTTGTGAGTGTGTGTGTGTGTGTGTTTGT